CGGGGCGCCCGTGTGCCGGCGCGAGAGGACGCCAGTCGCATGCCCGGGGGGGGGGGGGGACGGCCGAGCGGGCCGCAGCGTGCGACGGGCCACTTCACCTTTTCCGGGGCGATATTTTTCCCGGGCATGGGCGCGGCCCGGGCCGAGAGGGCCGGGATCGCTGCCCACCGCTCACGGACCGCGCCCCGGCCCGAGGATCTCCCCCGGGTCCTCGCCCCTTCCTCCCCCAGGAGGGAGGGGCTGAAGGGGCGAGGCAAGGGCAGCCGTTTGCCGCCCCTGCTGTTCCCGCGCCCCGGCCCAGGCGGGGGGGGGGCGGGCGGGGCCACGGAGTGGGCCCGGTGACGGGGGTGAGCGAGCGCGCACCCAGGCCAGGGGCCAGAAGCCCTGTGCCCCGCCCGCCCGCCCGCCCGCCCGCACCCCGGTTCTCAGCGAGGCCTGGGCAGCAGCGGCCGGGGGCTGGCCCGTCCGCTGGCGGCTGGGATCTTGTGCGTGAGCGCCCAACAGCGGGCGCATGTCGTTGTGCGGCGCGAGACCGAGACCGCGACCGCGGGAGGGGTGTGGGGCTGGTCAACCTGGCAGGGTCCCCGTGCTCTGGGCCCCGGTGAACGCCCGGCGCCGCCCCTGGGGGGGGGGGGGGGGGAGGGGAGGCCCGGGGAGGGGCCCCCGCGCCCGGGCCCCCCCCCCCCCCGCCCAGAGCCCACCAGCGCCCCCCCCCCCCCCCCCCCCCCCCCTCTGCCCCCCTTTCCCGCCCCGGCCCCCCCCCCCCCCCCGCCCTCTTCCCTTCATTCCCCGCAAGCGATGGACCACTTGCCGCGAGGCAGCACCTCCGCCGCCGATGGCGGCAGCTCCGACCCGCCAAGGTATGCCCTCCCCTCGCTCCCCCGGCCCCACACTCACGCCGGTCCCATGGTCCCCCTTCCCCGTCTTACCCCCCAGCCCCACCCCGCACTCCTCCACTCTGGCATCGCCACCCAGCTCCATGGCGCCGATCAAGATCTCCATCCGGAAGCTGGACTCCTCTTCCTTCGATGTGACCCTGCCAGCCAACGTACGCGCGCTCTGCCCCCGCTCCCCCGGTCCCCCCCCCTCGCCGCCGGCTGTTCCGCCC